CTCATCATTCTCAAAACTCGCTTTCTGCTTGGGTTCCTGGAATCAGCTCCTCATTTTCCTTTTTCCCCTCCCCCTTCCTCCCCGCACTAAATTTCCATTCTTTGCGGTATTAACTATAATTGGCTTTCATCCACAAATTGAATGCTTTTGCAGTCAATAAACAGAAAAACATCTTTCTAATGTCCTCTGATTTCAGTTAAGATTTGACTTTATCAATGACATCCCTTGCTCCACCTCCTCTTCTAAACCTAGCTTGAATTTCTGCCAATTCCTTCAGTGTACTACTGCAAAGCTATTTTACATATGACATTAATATTGTCGTCCAGTCATTTCTGAATTTTTGCATTACCATTCTTTGTAATGGGCACAAATATGTATCTCCTCCTGGTGACAGTCCAGATGGTGGTTTTTATCTTTCTTAGCCTTTATTAAAGTGTGTTACTATGAGAAAGGCAGTGTTTGAGCCTGCATATATAAGGGAATGGGCAGGATGTTTGAGAAGAAGGAAATATGATTTAGGTGTATGTATCACATCCACAGTGATCTCCAGTTCAACTGAGGCAAGAACATCACTGACGATCATGTGAATGCCAGTTCTCTCTCCCTTTCTATCTCAGAATTTAGGAAATATCGACATGCATTTTATTTTCTTTATTGAGACAAAAGTAAGATTTTAGCCAATTATCTGTAAATATTAAGATTGTTTTTCAATTTATAATTTTCTCCCAATTAGACTATTAAAGTAGAGACTATATCTTAATCACATTTATCTCATTCACTATAATTTTCACAATGCTTTTCACAATAATGTGTCCAGTTGAATTTAAATTTTTTACTTATTTCTTTGTGATATTTTGCATCTGGTTTTGTCTTCTTGTAATGGAAATAAAAAGAATAATAGGTATTACTTTTTTATTAGTTTTCTGTGGAAACTTGCCATAAGCAAACTTTCCAGATATGAAATCACTTTATTACAATGAGAAAGAATTCTTGAAGTGCAGCAGATACCGTGTACCATGAAAATGGGGGAAATGCTTGGACTAGTGAAGGACAAACATTGTTAGTGATCAGTTATTTGAGGCTATTGCAGTCATTTCTCTATACCTGGATTCATCTCTGAACTTTTAGTTATGTAAGAAAAACCTTTTATTTAATTATACTTCTGTGGTTAGTTCTTTTAAAATGTCATTGTTCTTTATTTTTATTCTTTTTTCATTTTAATAAATCATTTCATGGGGGGCTCTTACAGCTCTTATAACAACCCATACATCAATTGTATCAAACACATTTGTACATATGTTGCCATCATCATTTCTAAAATATTTCTTTCTACCGG